TTAACATTATACAATAACTATAATTTTTCGAAAGCTTTTATGAGATCATGTTCATCAACAAACAGTACTGAGACTTTGGGGACAGATCATTTAGATTGGTTTATAGTTTTGATTAAAAGCATTACGTTCCTTGTAGTAATTATGCAGTCATTGATCTTGAGGATATCATATTAGCCTCTTAGTTTGACACACTATGAGTGCAGCTTGGGATGGGTACTCCATATGAAGATATAATTGACAGTCAAAGCAGATGTAGATTCTGCTTGCCTGATCTCATTCAATTTCAATTTTCAGAAAACTCTCTGAGAACTAGGGTCTTCAGAGTTAAGGATAGCACTGGCTACTGTGTTTGGCTGGGGTGGTCCTTTGTTGTAATCTACCTAATTTACAAACACAGGAGCTTCTGTTTTTAAAAATACAGAGATAGCTACAAACAACACCAAATGACCCAGAGACTCTTAAACATTGAGGGAGTCTAAAGTCTAAACCCAGTGTCTCATCCACATTTTACTAACGGACTCATAAGAGAATAAACCAAAAATTCCTTAAGCACTTGTGGTTTGGGCCCATTTCTACTTTTTTATTTGAAGGGGATGTAAAGAGTGGAATGCCCGTTCTTTTGCCTGTTGTAGGGAGAGTGGTCAAACCAATATACTTCTGACCCCACAGAACTATGTCAGAGGAAACTCCATGTATTTGCTGCAATGTTGTCATTGAAGAGAGGTGGCTGTTAAGAGTAGAGACAGAACCACTGAAAAGCTACACTTTGTGGCACCAATCCCCTACAAACTTATGGGGATTTCACTGGGTAAGATAGTGCTGACCCTCTCTATATGTTGGATAAAACCATAGGAAGCTGCACCTTTACTCCCATGATTATAATTAAATCACATGCTTCAGAGCTTTAACCAGTCACCTGCAGGAGTCAGGAAAGATTTTTTCTCCCTGATGCTCAATTGGTCAGATGTACTTTGAGGTTATTTTTCACCTTCCTCTGAAGCATCAGAGGTTAGCCACAGCTGGAGATGGGACACTGGATGGGGTGGACCAATGCGGTGAGGTGGTATAAAGAATCCCCTTTCTTAGATGCCTGGCGGGTATCTCTTGCTCACATGCTCAGGGTCAAACTGACTGCCAGATTTGGGGTTGGGAAGGGATTTTCCCACAGCTGAGATCGGCGGGGATCGGGCATGGGGAGGTTCACATTCCTCTGCATCAGGGAGTACAGTTCACCTGCTAGGATCATCTGGGCATATTTCACTAATCAGTTCCCTGCCATTGCAGGGGCCTTTGTCCATTGGTGGCACCTTAGAATCATAGAATCACAGAATATCAGGGTTGGAAGGGAGGTCATCTAGTTCAACCCCCTACTCAAAGCAGGACCAATCCCCAACTAAATCATCCCAGCTAGGGCTTTGTCAAGCCTGACCTTATAAACCACTAAGGAAGGAGATTCCACCACCTGCCTAGGTAACCCATTCCAGTGCTTCACCACCCTCCTAGTGAAAATGTTTTTCCTAATATCCAACCTAAACCTCCCCCACTGCAACTTGAAACCATTACTCCTTGTTCTGTCATCTGGTACCACTGAGAACAATCTAGATCCATCCTCTTTGGAACCCCCTACCAGGTAGTTGAAAGCAGCTATCAAACCCCCCCGCATTCTTCTCTTCTGCAGAATAAATTATCCCAGTTCCCTCAGCCTCTCCTCATAAGTCATGTGCTTCAGCCCCCTAATCATTTTTGTTGCCCTCCGCTGGACTCTTTCCAATTTTTCCACATTCTCCTTGTAGTGTGGGGCCCAAAACTGGACACAGTACTCCAGATGACCAATGCCGAATAGAGGGGAATGATCATGTCCCTCGATCTGCTGGCAATACTCCTATTTATAAAGCCCAAGATGCTGTTAGCCTTCTTGGCAACAAGGGCACACTGTTGACTCATATCCAGCTTCTCGTCCACTGTAACCGCTAGATCCTTTTCTGCAGAACTGCTGCCTAGCTGCTCGGTCATTAGTCTGTAGCGGTGCATGGGATTCTTCTGGCCTAAGTGCAGGACTCTGCACTTTTCCTTGTTGAACCTCATCAGATTTCTTTTGTCCCAATCCTCTAATTTGTCTGGGTTTCTCTGTATCCTATCCCTACCCTCCAGCATATCTACCACTCCTCCCAGTTTAGTGTCATCTGCAAATTTGCTGAGGGTGCAATCCACACCATCCTCCAAATCATTAATGAAGATATTGAACAAAACCAGCCCCAGGACCAACCCTTGGGGAGCTCCACTTGATACCGGCTGCCAACTAGACATGGAGCCATTGATCACGACACGTTGAGCCCGATGATCTAGCCAGCTTTCTATCCACCTTATAATCCATTCATCCAGCCCATACCTCTTTAGCTTGCAGGCAAGAATACTGTGGGAGACCGTATCAAAAGCTTTGCTAAAGTGGTGGCCAGCACATCCCTCGGCCCGCACCGTTTCCCGCAGCCCCCATTGGCCTGAAATAGCAAACCGCGGCCAGTGGGAGCTGCAATCAGCTGAACCTGCGGACGCTGCAGGTAAACAAACCATCCTCACCCGCCAGCAGATTTTCCTGATGAGCCGCATGCCAAAGGTTGCCAATCCCTGTGGTAGAGGCTCATGCACCAAACTCCAGAGGTCCCCGGTTCAATCCTGCCTGCTGACGACCGGGGTCTGTCAGCATTACAAGTGGGGGCTCATCCAGGATTTCAATTGGGAAGTCTCTGAAGCTCAGGACGCGATTCCTTAGCTAGGGAAGTATGCAACCCACACACCTCCTGGGTGTGGTGTTCTGTCCCATCTAGTGGCACTGAGATCACTTAGAGAGAGAGATTAATGAGTTTGCTCTACAGCCTTAGCTAAGAGCGAGTTGGCTTTTAGCTCATGCGGTAGAAGTTCATGCACTAAGCTCCAGAGGCTCCGGTTCAATCCCACCCACCGACGAGCGGGGTCTGTTGGCGTTACACTGTAACCTCACTTTTTTGTTGGTTTGAATTTGTTACCTTTCCCTCTCTGTGCTGGTTCTGCCATAATAAAATAAAAATAAGCGTAGCGCTAGGCACTTTGCCATGGCTAGTGCTTTGACAAGGAAGATGCTCACTTACTGTGATGAAGGGCAGCAACAGAATCTCGAATATGGATATATAGCAGAACTAATGGAGCTGCCTAAATGAACAAAGAGGACCCAAAAGTCTGAGGGCAGAATAATAGACAAGAGAACAAGACAAAGTGCTACCTGGATGAATAATTTAATGCACTGAACACAGATTCAACATGCTACAACAGAACATTTATTCTCAGCTATTAATTGAAGATGGGGTCTTCAGCTACACAGTGCTCCCAAAGCTGCTATTTGTTGATAATTATTAGTATTGTTATTTATCTATATAGTTAGGAACATGACATAAAGATAAGAAGATAAAGTCCTTGACCCAAGAGCTTACAATTTCAGTAGATCTCCCACAGCCAATGGGTGTCACAAAAAGTCGCTAGATCACTGATTCTGTACTGACGGAGAGATATGCCACTTCTTACAACAGCCTTGAAAAGCTTGGGATTTTTCATGAAAGCAGAAAAAAGCTTGTGAGATGATTGGATCACAGCTCCAGGTGTTCTGGCTGTAGAAAGTCAGAATATGTCTTTTAAGAGTTTTTTTCTTCTTCCCACTAGAAACACAAATAAGCGTGTAAAAGTTTAGACTCAGTAGGCCTGATTTGCCACAGTCATAGTCCAATTTTATATTCTAGCTTCATTTTGAGCCACAATGAGACAACAGTTGTGGTTAGTATAATCGCCTGAAGGAGTTCCAGTTCCATTCACTTGTCATACAATTTTTGACTGCATATGAAAGCCAAGAACCTGGAGGAACATAACTGGGTGGTGTAGTAAGCACACACATGTTGGAAAATTCTTAATGTTAGGCCAGCTCAGGACTATCTGAATTTACAGTAAATCTCACTCCCTTTCCAAAAAACAAAAAAGGTAAAAATTGTAAAATGTAAAAATGCAAATGTAAAAAATAGTTTAATTTCTTATTCTGGGCAACACCTTTTAATCAAGGTTACATTGGCGAACCTTGTGATATGTCATGTTTGTCTGTATTATAACAGACATTAAGATTACAATTAAAGCATATTGAATTAGTAGCACAACTCCTTTGTTAAACAAGTACAGATTCAGGAAATTCTCTGCTAGTCTACTGACAAATTACCTCAAAGAGATGGAGAAAATTCACACCACTAAATCCAAAGAAACAGTTCAGTTACTAAGAAAAGGAGGACTTGTGGCACCTTAGAGACTAACCCAATTTATTTGAGCATAAGCTTTCGTGAGCTACAGCTCACTTCATCGGATGCAGTCAGTGGAAAATACAGTGGGGAGATTTTATGTACACAGAGAACATGAAACAATGGTTATTACCATACACACTGTAACAAGAGTGATCAGGTAAGGAGAGCTATTAGCAGCAGGAGAGAAAAAAAACCTGTTGTAGTGATAATCAAGGTGAGGGTTTCCAGCAGTTGACAAGAATGTGTGAGGAACAGTTCAATCTTTCTGGTCACTTGATTACAGACCTAAAAGTGGCAATTCTTCAACAAAAAAAACTTCAAAAACAGACTCCAACAAGAAACTGCTGAATTGAAATTAATTTGCAAACTGGACACCATTAAATTAGGCTTGAATAAAGACTGGGAGTGGATGTGTCATTACACAAAGTAAAACTATTTCCCCATGTTTATTCCTCCCCCGCACCCACTGTTCCTCACACATTCTTGTCAACTGCTGGAAATGGCCCACCTTGATTATCACTACAAAAGGATTTTTTTCTCTCCTGCTGGTAATAGCTCACCTTACCTGATAACTCTGGTTACAATGTGAATGGTAACACCCATTGTTTCATGTTCTCTGTGTACATAAAATCTCCCCACTGTATTTTCCACTGCATGCATCCGAGGAAGTGAGCTGTAGCTCATGAAAGCTTATGCTCAAATGAATTTGTTAGTCTCTTAGGTGCCACAAGTACTCCTTTTCTTTTTGCGGATAGAGACTAACACAGCTGCTACTCTGAAACCTGAGTTCGGTTACTGGCATTTAAAAGAGGAAACAACAGCAAGAGAATATCTGCTTCTCTTGAGCAAGTTCATTCTCTTTTGTGCCTGCTAACAGTTATGTACAGAAATGAGACTCACGGAGAAATTCTTGAAATGAGAGGAAAAATGGCACTTTCATTTGCGGGTGTTTTTTGTGCCACAGATATAGTGCGTTTCATTATGTTCTCATGAAATGGCTGGTGTTGCATGCAAATAGGTGAGCATTCGATTTCTCGCTTTTGTCTGTGAGCAACAGTCTGAATTTCAAAATTTACATTTGAATGTTTTTGCCTGAAAAGTAACCCATTTGGAGTGAAAATGCAAACACAGGAACTGCCATACCAGATCATCCTAGTGGTCAATCCAGTCCAGTACTGTAGCTCCAACAATGGTCAGCGCTAGATGCTTCAGAGGAAAATACAAGAAGCCCTGAAGGCAGTGATAAGATAAACTGTCCTGAGGGAAAGTTTCTTCCTACAAACCCACAGAGGTTGGCTTATGGTCTGAAGCTTTTCCACTTTAACTCAAAAAAAGTAAATTTGGATGTTTATCCCGGTACCACAGTCATGGGCTGCATCACAGAAAGAATAAAGTGGAGTGAAACGTGAGGGCATTCTAGGAGATGGTAGAGCCTTGCACAAACCAAAGAACCCTTATTTGGGTGGAGGTGAGGAGAATGATACACTACATTTCTGAAAATAATGCTTCCTTCACCACCTGCTTGTTTTAGCTTTCATTATGTTGATTCTTATCAGGTTGCTTTAGCACAGTCAAACCTTAGTGGCATAAAGCTTGAGCCAAAGGCCACTGAAGTCAGTTGGAAAGAGAGCCATTGTCATCACTGGCCTTTGGATTCAACCCATAATGCAGGCTCGTACAGAAACACAAATACTGATTAAGTCCATGTATTAATGTGTCGTGTTATAAAACTGCCATGTCCTTTTCAGATAAGATCCAATAGCACTCGGGAGGGACAAAAATCATTAACCAATTGAGAGAAGAGAACGTTCGTGTGAAGTAAATATTTTCAGGTTTCCAAGACAAGATTACAAACAATGGAAAAAATTGAGGACAAAAAATTCAACAGTTATCTGTGTCCTGATACGCCATATGTAATATCACTGGTCACGACATGGGAACATGGAAAATGACATCGCACGTTTAGAAACGTACAACACCAAACATAGAATGATCTCATAAGTACAAGAAAGATTTCTATTTGCCCTCAGTCTCATTCTCTTTTTTCTCAGTGTGGTGACACTATGTGCTCTATGGGGATACATTTCCAACTTGAAGATTAATTTTAAAACCTCAGAAGCTCAAAAACTCTCTTTACTCAATCATGTGAAAATGAATAATCTTATTGAGGCTGGATAATTCCTGGTGTATGGAGTGAAAACTCAATTAATTACCTTGAGGGTTTAATCTTACAATGCCTCCAATCTAATACACATTGACTACATCACTCAACTCTTATAGGTATTTATATAAGGCCCTGACTGCTGGAAAACCCTCATTTCACCTTGGGTCACATACATTCATGTGATCAACATGAATTATAGGTGCTAGCCACCAAAGTGCCCACAGGATCTATGTGGGTAGGGGAAGGGGGTCTCCCAGCTCTGTGTAAGAGATATTGAGGAGAGCCAACATGTGTTGTATTTTCCTGGGAGTCACTGCACAGCTGGGAATTGTGCACCCCCCCAGTCTCCATCCCCATCCCTAGTGCAGAAGACAGGCCTGTGGGTTAGAGGAAGGAGAGTGGGGTCCAGTGGCAAAGAGACTGACCCCTACTTCCACAAGGGAGGGGGAGGATCTGTCCATGGAAGACCAACCCATCCCATTGAATTACCTGTATCAGGCTACCACACAAGAAAGGGGAAGGCCACTCCTCTCTCTGCCATATGATAATTTTTGTTGTTTAAACTGCTGAGATTAAAGCCCAGCGGAATGCCCAAAGGTACTGGATGGATGCTGATTGACCTCTCGCCCATCATCTTTCACTAAAGTTTATCCTCCCCACTTTCTGAAACTTGCTGTTCCTATTCGAAAAGTTCACTGATAACAATCGCTCTCTCCCCAGACTCCAGCACCCATTTGGGAAAGCTCAATGAAAAGGACAAAGATAGGGAATGCACTTTGATTCCCAAGCTCCTAAATGAGTGTGACGACAATGGAGAGCAAAACCAGCCAAAGCTGTTTAAGAAAGAACTTAAGTCACCTGGCCCTTCTGTAGTTGAGCCCCACAATTCCTATGTCCCTGCTATTTCGAGTGCTCAAGGACACTAGAACAGACATGTAGCCCAGATCCTGAAAGATATTTAAGCTCCTAACTTTCACTGGGAGCCTAAGTACCTTTGAGGATCTGGCCCACAGTCTTTAAGGCAATATGTTCCTTTAAGGCAATATGTTCCAGACGCTATTGTGGAGAAACCTGCATTCATGATACTATTTGCATGCACTAATTGGTAAGAGCCAGCTCTTGTATCATGCATTATTATACTCTCTTCTAGAAGTGGGTGAAAATTTTCTATTGAAATCTTTTTTTGGTTTTTTTGATGGAGAATGGCTTTTCCAAAAAACCAGAAATCTTTGCAAAATAAATTCAAATTTTTGTCAAAAAAAAAGGTTTTGTTTTTCCAGTTTAAAACTGAAAAAAAAAAAAGCGTTTGTTTTTTTTGACGAAAGCCTGAAAAATCAAGAAGAAAATTTTTGGCAAGTGAACATTTCTTTCATTTTTGTCAAAAATTTTCACAGGGAAAAACAATACTTTCCTGACCACCTCTAGTCTCTTCCCATACTCATTCATTTTCTTCTTTTGTCTCTCTCAAACATCTCCCACTTTCTTACTCACTGTTCTTTCTATTATTCTCATTGCTTTTCCTTCTCAAGTTAAAATTTATCAATACGTTGCCTATCCTATTCTCTTTCTCCAAAGGGCAGCTTCATTGGTCTCCCTGCTTGTTTTAGTTACTCAGCCCAATTTCTCATAAAACACCACCCTCATGGAATCATCTTCCTCCAACAGCTCAGTTTCCTACTACTTAATTCTCAGAAAGTTTCACTTGTCGGCTACCAAGACACATTGTTTGTGGTGCACGGATCATAATTTGGGAAACAGCTTTTGCACAGTATCAAGAGTTCAGGCTATAGTTGGGTTTCGCCTTAACTCTGAATCTCCTTACTTATGAGGGGACTGATAACATTGTGCTGTAGGTTCAAAAGGCATTCTGTTTCTTGTTTGCTAGTCTACTGATTCACAACCAGCAGTCTGAATCCAGTTCCCACAATTTGAAGAGGCTGGTAGTGCATTCCAGATCTGACACTTTCATGGTGTCACTCTAGGATACTTTGGGTGAGCTCTCAGTTGATGTGCTTTAATGTGTAGTCCATGAAAATAGTTCAGAAATGGACACAAGAAGAGGAGGGTGTTGCTGTTATGATTCTGTTGCTGTGCCTCGTATGATACACATGAAAAGGATTATATTAGCAGCCAATTGGTGTTTGATCTGATGCTGTGATGCTTGTAACTTCATAAACTTCTGTAGAGGTCTGGTGTGGGGAATTTCTATGGAACTAGACAGAACTGGATTAGTCTTCTCTAATTCACTCAGGCATTTTAAGTTACAGTCAGATGATTTAAATTCAGGTTCCTAAATCACATTCGGGCTCTTAAACACCATTGCTCCCAGGCCAGCACCTGTCCCTAACACACAGAGGTAGTCATTTTTATCGCAGAACTAGATGGCATGGTCCACCTCGTCCTCTTCCTCCACATTGGCATAAGTCCATAGCTCTTCCCATGCCATCTCCGGCCAATTTCCGCTTGCACCTGAAAAGGGAAAGAAGATGTTAGTGGTCCGTGAGGTAGATTTCATCTCTATGCCAAATGAGCCCAGTGAGAGGAGGCTTGGACAGGTACGTTCATGGTACCCAACTTGAGTACATATGTTATGGACCCCCTAGGGGTCATGAGAACTAGTCAACATTTTTCAAATGTGACAATTTTAATGACATTTCACAATAAAAAATGGAAAAAAATCTCAGTGTGATTTTTACTGCATATTTTCCAACCAACTACAGAGCTAGAAACATTTTTTAAAATGTTGAAATGTCGACATTTCTAACTTAAAAAAATGAAGAATTTTTTTTAAGTGTGTGACTTTTTTACATCTCTTTCTGATTTAAAACAAAGTGTAATTTTAAAATGAGTTTGAAGCTGTTCTCCATTTTTGTAACTGAATTTCTAAAATAAATTTCTTCTCATAATGCAAATAAAGTACTACCAAAACTTTGGTCTTGCAGTTCGAACTATAAAAACAGACCAACACAACCAGTAGTTATACAATAAGTGACAACTTAATTTGTGATAATACCTTTTGCAGCATCAGACCTTTTGCAGCATGCATAATACCATCTAAGCATCATACAAAATAAAAAGCATTCCTAGGAGGGAGGGAGTTAGATAAGTTAAATATTATTATCCCTTTGTTTCAAAGAGGTGAACGCCCAGATCCTTAAAGATATTTAGATGACTAACTCCGATTGATTTTAATGGCAGTTAGGTGCGTAAATACCTCTGAGGAGATGGCCAAAGTGACTTGCCCAAGGTCACACAGTAGATCAGAGTGAAAAATGTCAGACACATTTCAAAGCCTTTGTGACAGGGACCACATCTACGATGTTTGCACTGCACCTAGCAGATCAGCTTTAGGGCTTGCAGGAACGGCTATAAAATAATACATAATAATAAACACCTAGATGGACAGAGATGGGATTAAAACTCAGGCATCATGTCTCCCAGTTCCATGCTCAGACCACTAGCTCATGTTGCCTTTAATAATTTGATAGCATACCCATTTGACTGTGACAATTGCTTTTGATTCTGTGCACGGTATCTAACCAATGAATAAAAGGCACACTTCTTCCATTTAAAATGAACACTTAGGGTACGTCTTCACTACCCGCTGGATCGGCCGGCAGCAATAAATCGATCCCCGAGCGCTCTCCCATCGACTCCGGTACTCCACAGCGGCAAGAGGCGCAGGCGGAGTCGACTGGGGTGCGGCAGCAGTCGACTCACCGTAGTGAAAACACCATGGTAAGTCGATCTACGTACGTCGACTTCAGCTACATTGTTCACATTGCTGAAGTTGCGTAGCTTAGATCAATCTCATCTCCTCCCCCCCCAAGTTCAAGCCTACTGCATATGTAATGCCTGAGTCCACGACAGGGGCTCCAGGGCACTACCTATAAATAATAAATAATACAATTGGACCTCAGAGTGTGAGCATCTACTGTCTCAGCTAAAAGACTCAGGTCTGTTAACTCAAAGCCAGTATCAGACTTATAAACCACTATGTAGTTCACCCATTAGAGGGCGACAGAGAACCACACCTTAATGGTGAATTGCACACAACACATATCGCTGTGTCTACACTAACATTTTCCTTAAACTTTCCCCGCCTAGATCCACCAGTGGTGCTAAGAATAGTAGGGTGCTAATATAGATGGACTGCTGGCATTTCAACCAGTGAGTCATGCAACAAAAATAATCTCTAGTACTTACATAGTGCTTTTGATGAGTAGATCTCAAGAAACTTTATAAGGGATGTCAGTATTGTTAACCTTTATACAAATAGGAAAACTGAGGCACTGAGCAGTGATGTGACTTGCCCAAGGTCACCTAGCAGGCCAAGCTGGGAACAGAACCCAGCTCTCCACTATCCCAGCCTAGGGTGCTATCTATTGGCTCGCATTGCCTCTCTCACAATGCTAAGAACAGTGCTAGATGAAACCCTGGTTAAAAATGCCAGCAGTCTAAGGGAGCTTAACACAAATGCTCCCACCATTACTACCTCTTTTGGAGCTCAGTCAGTGGTAGAAATCTAGTATTAAACATCTAGTATCGACAAGGCTTATGTGAGAACTGATATTAGTGGGTACATATTTACTGGCATGCTATTCTAGTTGCTTTTACTGCCATACAGTTTTAATTAAAACATTTTTAAAGCTATTCATGAAATAACCGTGCATGTTTCCCAACACAGTGTGTTCCTCTGAGCTTCCGATGACCAGGATAGTGGTTTAACACACAACTCTTTCCACCGGAGTGTGTCATTTAAGAAGTTCCTACTGTGCAATTTTCAAAGCTTGTGCTGGGGATGAGGAGCACATCTCTGTGTGCATGTGTAAATTGCTCTTGCTTGTTTTCTCTTTCTCATCTTCAGCTCCCACAGAGCGGGCACCCTTCTCTGCCTCATAGGAGCTAGGAAGATTCCATCCCTGGAATACCGTGTCCTGTTCTGGTGCCCACATTTCAAAAAGGATGTGGAAATATTGGAACAAGTTCAGAAAAGAGCTACAAGAATGATCTGAGATCTGGAAAACATGGCTTAGAGCAGTGGTGGGCAACCCGCGGCCCGTGGGCCTCATGGGGCTCATCAGGGTAACCTGATTGCGGGCTGTGAGACATTTTGCTGATGTTGACCATTCACAGGCACGCCCCCCTTCCGTCCCCCCTCCCACCGCACTGCAGCTCCCAGTGGCCACAGTTCACCATTCCCGGCCAATGGGAGCTGCAGGAAGTGGCGGCTTGCATGTCCCTATGGCCCACACTGTTTCCCGCAGCTCCCATTGGCCAGGAACGGCGAACCGTGGCCACTGGGAATTACCGGGGGGCCATGCCTGCAGATGGTCAACGTCAGCAAAATGTCTCGTGGCCCACAATCAGATTACCGCAGGTTGCCCACAGGTTGCCCACCACTGGCTTAGAGTGAGAGAATTAAGGAGCTCAATCTACTCCATTTACTCAAGATACAGTTAAGAAGTGGCTTGATTACAGTCTACATGTACCTACATGGGGAAAGAGATCGTTAATAGTAGACCTTAATCTAGCAGAAAAAAACAATTAGACGAAATAGCCGGAAACTGAAGCTAGACAAATTAAGACTAGAATGAAGGCACAACTTCTTTGTAACAATGAGGGTAATTAACCATTGGAACAACTTACCTCGAGATGTGGTGGATTCTCCAGCTCGTAGAGGTATCCAAGCCACTAAGTTTAGACTCTGATCCAAACTTTCCCAGTGTTGTAAGGGATTCAGAGCCAGAGTTCTGGACTGGATCCATTACTGCTTTCTGGGCTTCTTGTCAGTCAGCCAGGAGCAGACATGGAAGCAGCTTTGGCAGGTGCTGCAGCAGGGACTGGCAGACCTGGATGATGTCATCTGGCTGCTATCTGTCATTTTCACTCAAGATGTTTTCTTCCCTCTATTGGTTGTCTGTTTGCTCCAAACCCCACTCGCCCACCCATTCCCTAACAATCTCTTCACCTCAGCTTCACTCCTCCCATCCACCATGCTCTCCTTCTTCCTTCCCCCCACCTCTCCGCTCCCATCTATTCCCCCCTCCTTTCCTTTATCTTTCCATATTTAGCTTATCCCACAATAGCTAAAGTCCCACACAAAGAATTTTTGGAAAACAATTTTGGCATTAATGTGTCATTTGCATACCACCCACTCTGCTGTTTCTCTTTGTACATTATACTCCAGTCTCCTGCCCTATGTCTGTCATGTCTATTTCAATTCCATCAATGGCTATTACACAAGGTGATCAGGGATGCAACCCCATGCTCTGGATGTCCTAAGCATCTAAGTGCCAGAAGCTGGGACTGGACAACAGAGGCTGCATCACTCGATAATTGTACTGTTCTGTTCATTTCCTCCGAAGCATCTGGGATTGGTCACTGTCAGAAGACAGGATACTAGGCTAGATGGACCATTGGTCTAATTCAGTGTGGCCATTCTTAGTAGATTCAGTTTATTTTGACCCTTGTTATGTGACAGGGTATAATCTTTGTAACATTAACTCATGTCATGTGACTGAAGCCAGGACATAAATATCAGATTCTTTCAGCATCTGTATTACACACCTGTATTACAATGCATGTCTGAGTGACAGCAAAATGTGGTGCTTAGTATGAAGACTGGAAATAGATATATCACACTAAAGAAATGTTGTCAAAGCTAGAGAGCATAGTGAAAACTACCTGTACTGAACATTATGTGTATTTGACAATCGTAGACTTTATGGTCAGAAGGGACCATCATGATCATCTGACCTCCTGCACATGGCAGGCCACAGAACCTCACCCACCCACTCCTGCAACAGACCCAGAACCTCTGGCTGAGTTACTGAAGTCCTCAAAGATTTCAAGTTACAGAGAATCCACCATATACACTAGTTTAAACCTGCAAGTGACCCATTTCCCACGCTGCAGAGGAATGCAACCCTACCCCCAGGGTCTCTGTCAATCTGACCTGGGGGAAAATTCCTTCCTGACCCCAAATATGGAAATCATTTAGACCCTGGGCATGTGGGCGAGACCTGCCAGCCAGACACCTGGGAAAGAAGTCTCTGTAATAACTCAGAGCCCTCCCCTCTTATGTCCTGTCTCCGGCCGTTGGAAATATTAGCTAGTAGCAGTTGTGGATGGCTGTATGTCTTTGTGGGCAACCTCATCTGACCACCCCCTCCATAAACATATCAAGTTCAGTCTTGAAGCCAATTAGGTGTTTTACCCCCACTGTTCCCCTCAGAAGGCTGTTCCAGAACTTCACTCCTCTGATGGTTAGAAACCTTCATCTAATTTCAAACCTAAACGTGTTGATAGCCAGTTTATATCCCATTTGTTCCTGTGCCAACATTAGCCCTTAACTTTAATAACTCCTTTCCTTCTGTAGTATTTATAGAAAGCAATCATATCACTCCTCAGTCTTTGTCTGGCTAGGCTAAACAAGCCAAGCTCCTTAAGCGTCCTTTCATAAGGTAAATTCTCCATTCCTCTGATCATCCTAGTAGCCCATCTCTGCACATGTTCCAGTTTGAATTCATCTTTCTTAAACATGGGAGACCAGAATTGCACACAATATTCCAGATGGGATCTCATCAGTGCCTTGTGCAATGGTAATGATACTTTTTTAGCTCTACTGGAAATACTTCACCTGTTGCATCTTAGGATTGCATTAGCCTTTTCCAGGGTTGCACCACATTGATGGCTCATAGTCACCCTGTGATCAACCAATACACCCAGGTCTTTCTCCTCTGTCGTTTCCAACTGATACATCCCCAGCTTACAGCAAAAATTCTTGTTCATCCCTAAATGCATGATCTTGCACTTTTCACTATTAAATTTCATCCCATTTCTATTACTCCAGTTTTCAAGTTATCCAAATCTTCTCATATGATAGTCTGGTCCTCCTCCATACTGGCAATAACTCCCAACTTCGTGTCCTCCGCAAATTTAATTAGCACTCTCCCACTTTTTTGTGCCAAGATCATTAATGAAAATGTTAAATAAGATTGGTCCCAAGACTGCTTCTCCACTCCAGCCTGACAGTTCACCTTTCTGCATGACCTACTGTAGTCTCCCCTTTAACAAGTTCCTTACCCACATTTTGATTTTTGTATTAATTCCCATCTTCTCCAATTTAATGAATGATTTCCCATGTGGAACTGTATCAAATGCTTTACTGAAAACCAGGTAGATTAGATCTACTGCATTTCTTTGTTTAGAAAATTGGTTGTCTTCTCAAAGAAAGAGATCAAGTTGGTCTGGCATGATCTACCTTTTGTAAAACAATCTCTCTAAAGTTGACATTATTTCCAACTTAATACAAATCTGTTGGCTCCTTGGGGTATGGACCTTCTTTTTATTCTGTGTTTGTAGATCACCAGCACATACGTGTGTTGGTTCATTGCTGAGCCTGTCACAGTACAAATAATAATAAACAGAGATGGTAATAATTTTCCATTATATTCAGGATAAAATAGCAACAATGTTTCTGCCCACTAGGTGGCTTCATTCTCACGAAGATACTTCAAGGAGATATTCAGCAGCATTAACTCCCATGTCACTAGGCAACCGGGCTAAACTAACACATTTGATCACCTGCCACTGTTAAATTAGGTATTAACTCTATATGGCTTTCATTTAAATCAATAATGAAGAAGAGAATGTAGTTCTCTTACCTCTTGATTAAGGAAACAGTACAGAACGGCTACAATAAATCCCTGAAGAAGCAAAACAGTTAAGTGATAGCACAGGTTTGAAAAGCTGTTTCCGCTAAATCAGTCTGTGATGATACTCCTATATCCTATGCATTGGCGTGAGCGTAAAATATTCTAAGCTCAATTAGTTTCACAGCTAATCAGCCAGATCTTCGGCTGGTGTAAACTAGTATCCCGCCATCGAAATCAGTGATGCTACACCAGTTTACACCAGCTGATGATCTGGTCCAGTGAAGCTCCACCAAGAATGAATTTGGCCATATAGCTGCAACATGGCAGTCAAAATTACAGCTCTTCCAAATCTGTTGTGGGCCAGATCCTCAGCAGGTGTAAATCAGCAAAAAGCACCCTGGACTCCCCTGGGAGACTGTGTTTGTTCTGGATCATATTGCTTTCCAGTCACTGCTTAGCTTTATTTTTATAATTTCTCTAAATACCAAATCACTAGCTTTATCTCTATAGCACACTGCATGGCATTAATATTATACAGAGCGGGCATGATTCTGATCTCACATACAGTAGTTTTACGCCAAACAAAAACTCCAGTGAAAACACTAGAGTGATACCTGGTGTCCAACAGCTTAGAGCAGAATCAAGCCCTAGAGAGTTTTAGGAAACATTTGGGCTAGATCCTCTGTTGGTGCAAATCTGCATTGTGCCATTGAAGTCAGTTGTTCTATGCCAGTTTACACCAGATGAAAGTCTGACCCTTTTAGTATCTTTTCTTATTTTGCAAGATAATTTAATGATGACTGACAGCCCCAAAGACTGAAATTCAGAGTAGGGACTGAAACCTCAGGGTGAGTTTAGACAGGAAGAATGTAAGTATTTGGGCTGGAATTTGTGAACACTACGGGTCCAATACTCAGCTGGTGTAAATCCGCACAGCTCATGGGTCTCTGTTGATTTACAGCAGCTGAAGAGGCCGTGGAATCGTTATTGACCAGTGGAAAGCCGCATTTCAAGTCAAAAGGCAACGAGGGAAGAGCTCAGTGACTATAGCCACTAGACATCCTGGGGCAGGGTTTGCAACATATGTCAGGGGAAGGGTGGGGCAAAGAGAGGGGCTTTCAGCACCTTTGTGCTGCCCAGATCCTGAACTAATGCAGGGAATCAAAACAGCCCTCAGTGTAAACCAGAGCAGCCCTGGGGGTTGCTCTAAGTTATGGCAGCCTCCCACCTGCCCAGAATGTCCTAGCACTCAATGCCACCAGCACACTTCCTATTCTGGGGTCTGTCATGGGTGCAGTATAGGGTTGATTCCTGCATTGGGGAATTCTGCCCTGGCCTGGTGTGGTTGTCTAAAGGCTTATACACTGTCAGAGCAGTGTATAGCCACTGGGTGATCTTCTGTAGGATTTAACCGGGGAGGTTTAAGTCACCCCACCACAGGTTGGCCACTGCAACAAAGAGGGTAAAGTTCTGTGCAACTCCACCATCTTCAATGAAGTGGCATCCGTGACTGAGTTTGGATCACAGTCCCACTTGAATGTGCACAGAAAGGATGATATCTATTCAGGCTAGACAAGCTATGGAACACGTGCACTGCTGCAATACTTCAACAGGTTTACCTGGAAAGATCCAATGCAGAGCTCTAAATATAGCCGGACTCCCAGGTTGGTGTATTCAGGGAGGAAGTTGAAGACAATGTAATGTGTCCCAAATAGCGGAATGAGAAGCAGCGTCGATTTTGAGAGACGTCTAGGGCAGGAAATAAGAAGAGGCCAAAAAAATAAATATCATTCTTCTGAAGAGCATGAGGACAGCTGAACTAGAAATTCTCTAGTAATGAGTGATGCTCAACAGGTTAAAAAGGGACCCAGATATATATTTCAAATCTGCTGGGACAAAGGTGGGCACAGATTTCCAGTGCTTCTGGCTGGAGTGGAGGTACCACATAACCAATCTTTTTTTGCTGTGATTTGGTATTCTTAATGCTTGAACAAGAATGAATAAAAGTGCTGTTCAGAGAGATGCCTGGTCTAGTGACCTTGACAACAGAACTGGGGCCAGGCACCCCGAGTTCCAACCCTGAAAGTGACTCTATCTGTGGTCGTGGGCATGTCCTTTAATTTCTGACTCAGCTGCACCATTTGGAAAATATCACAGCCGGAAGCATTGCTCACAATGTGTGTGACACTGGATTACCTGTACTGACATGAATTATTGAAGTTGATTTGTCTCGGGTCCAGCTTTTTCAGCAAGATTCTGATGATGTTGATGAAAAGGATAAAGTTGACCTGTTTCCATTTTTTTGGAAGAAAGAAGATTGTTACCTTTTACTACCAAACATTCCTGTGAAAAGTATATTGTGACTTAAATAATTGCTAGCCATTACTGCAGATACAGTGGGAGCTGTACAAGAAACCAGCCTTACTAGGAAACTTCCCATCTTAAAGAGACAGCAACAAAGTATCCCTAAGGATATTGTATATAATTCTGCTGTGTCTTCTTTGGAAGACCGTCTCTATTAAGCAACCATATTTGTTAGTCCCTGGAGTAATCGATCATTTCTTTATTGTTTGCAGCACTCTTTAATTTTTCTGGTTTGAGACAATGATCGTTGTTGTACTAAACTATGGCTGATACCTTTAGAGCTGACTGGTCTAATTTTCTGCTGGTGTAATTTGTCACAGCTCCATTCAAACCAACATTGCTGGCCCATTTTATACCAGCAGTGAATTTGTCCTTGCATCCCATGTATTATGTGCATCCATCAATCTTTCAGGTGATGGCGAATGGCTGCTTTGCTCTCATGATGCCCATCTCTCCCCAGACATTGCAATTCCATTTTATCCACCTATAATGAGTTAATTAGATGATTGCAGAAAAATACATTCCTAGCTTCCCTGTATGGCATTCACACCTAGTCAGGAATGTCAGTCAAACGCAATGAGGCAAAACGTGGAGGTGTAGAGCATTTTAAAACTGCCTCACAGCAGAATAAAGCTGATAACGATCTGTCATTTTTGGATTCTGCATTCATACTGCTCTATCCTGCAGACGAGCCCCCTTCAACAACCCTTATTTATGCACAGCTGGTGCTGCCATCCAATTAAGCCACACAAATGCAATGGCTTTAATTCCAGCCTGGTGCACTGCACATATTACCTGTTTATTGTATATATTTCCTAGGGATTAATGACCAATTGCAAGTAATTGTGCATCATGACCCATTAACCCTAACCAATTATGAATCCCCAGTAAATGCACGGCTCCAGGGCTGTAATTGCCATGATCAGCTTAGAGTGGAAACAAAATTCAGTAGGACTATCCCTGTGCTTCCCCTTAAGTGTGTGCTTAAATGCTTTCCTGGATCTGGACTCCTAGTTCAAACCTTGCATTGTCAAAGAGCTTCTGGGAGCGTCAGCCACCAAACTACTCCCATTCACTTCAATGGGAATGACAAGTCTTTGAAAACTTAGGGAGAAGCGTTTTCTCTGAGATTCAGCAGCACTCATCTTTAGCACAAAGGGATAATCCCTTTAGAGGATCAATGCTACAGTTTCGGAAGATCAGGTATTAGTATTCAAACTTTAAGCCATTGCCCACCCCCATAATCTCTTTGTTGTCAATTCACGTTTCCAAACTGAGAAATATCACACATACCCCAACAGAAATGATAATAGGTCCTTTGATTAGCCACCAGTAAGGCGAGCCTTGGTTAATATCCCAGCATCTGGAAAAGTAGCACTTAAATTAACATAGATATACATGGTCACTGGAATATGGTTACATGGAGAAAGCACACGTTAGGGTCAATGGAATTATGAGCAGACCTATTACAGCCTCATTTTAAGATAGAATAGAAGAATAGAGCTATCCAAACCCCTGCAACTTGGCTTTGTAGAGTCTAGGTTCCATAAATATTATCCTACAAGTAGCAAAATGACAAAATTATCACTGACCCTTATGCACCAAGTGATGGCCAGAAATCTATTGCTTCCTGGTTGAAAATATGCCTGACAGCAGGTTATAAGGGCTGTTGCTGAAAGCCAAATCAAAAACACCATTGTTATTTGAAGATCTCTTTTTGACCTATGGGACATTGTCTTTGTAGCAGGAAGAGAGCCTGAGACATAAGCCCTTGTATTAGAGGTCTGGTATGAGGCCTGAACTAAAGTAGTGGTTAAAACTTTGCTGATATGAAGCAAAGTCGGGCTGTGAGCAAGAGGCAGGCCCTGCTCACCGAATTTGTCAAGAACAGGGTGGATATTGCAGAAATGCACATTTTAAAGAAGTACTAGTTACAGTGTGCTTATGCAAACACATTTCAATATTAAGCGCCACCCCAACATTCCAATATTAAAGACGGTACAAGAACATTCCCCAAAAATAACAGGAATAAGGTCAAAATGACAGTACATAATAAAAATGTTTTAACTAAACCAACATGTGCAAAACGATAAGTAATAGTGAGCAACTTTAGGGAGCAGTAACTAACTTGTTTGTACTGGGGTATAAAGATGTATTTTAAAGGGAATATTTTGGGCCCGCCTATGAAGCAACGGAAAGTCCCGCCGCTCACTAAGCTGTGTCCACTGTCACGGGCATACATGTCTTCGTATCCTCGTAAAGTCTGTGAGGTGTAAGTACCGTGCTTCGTCAACAATAAACCTGGCCAGGCGCCTTCGCTAAAAACTGAGTCTGTGGATTTATGGGGTAATTTAATTAAGGTCCGCTATCTGCGCAGAGCTGGGACAACATGCTAAATGAACACACACATGCAGCCAACCTCCGACCACATTGGTGACCCTGACCGCTATCAGTAATAGCTCCACTTTATAAGGCTATATAAGTATCTCAGGCTTCTGATGATATCAGCTTTGCTCCTCAATTATCATTACTTCATCTGAATCCCTTGATTTCCCGGAAGCACAATACTTCAAGGTTTTGATTATAACGTTTGCAAAAGCAAGTGCTATAGAAAAGGCGGTAACTCCGCTCCCGTTAGAAACATATTTTCAGTCACGTCTTTAAAAATTCTTCCATTAGCCTCAATGTTTTCATAGTCTCTGTGCAAGCAGTAAATTTGTTTTGGACAGTTTGAAATAAATCCCTTAATCCTTCTACCAGACTGGGGAAAAAAATACAAAGTAAACTTCTGGTTCTACTGAACTCAGCAGCAAAACTCCCATGGACTTCAATGGGGCCAGGATTTCACCCATCTATATTTTCCATTATTTTTTTGTGTGTGCTCATCATTAATTTTTTTAAAAAGGAAGGGTTAAGGGCCTGATCCTCCACGGCCCTGAAACTTATGAAACCATTCACACTTATGCAAAATGGATGTAAAGATGCAAGACATTGACTTCAACAGGGCTTCACACTGGCACAGAGAAAATTGCAGGACTGGGATCAATCATAACATTAAAAGTGCAACACTGCAATATGGAATCTAGTATGAAACTTCAACTTACGCTGTGTCTTCAAAATACAGCTTTGCTAATATCCACACTAGGGTAAAAACCGTTGGGAAACCTGGCGAAACAATTTAATACACACTAGTTGTTGTTTTTCTGATTTCATTAATTATTCCAGATTCAATTTCCATCCTGTCTATTGCAACCCTACCAGGATAGTATGAGACAGATTAACTGACCATAGAAAATGCCCTGTGCAATGACCATTATGTCTAACAGGAACCACATTTTAACCTAACGAGGTCATGGTGAGCTGCATAAATACAATGGGAAATCTCCCGATGCACACCATGAAATGAAGTAGCCTATGGCGTTAACCAGTTAACGTTTGTGTGGGATGGATGAGTGAATATGAAAGCAATACAGTGAAGCCAGGATGGATCTGTCCCTGCAAACTATTGCTCATATGAAAAATCCTTAATCATGTGACTAGTTATCTCAACTAATGTCCCTAAAATCAGTTTGCAAGTCCCTCCCCCCCCCCCCAGTTTTAGGTAAGGAGTGGTGGTTTTGGCATGGGGGAGTGCTGGGGAGTGGCATTTATCCATTTCAATAATCCCTCTAAGCACTTTCCAAACATCAATTAGTAAATTATCATAGTACTCCTGTAACGTAATACCGATGGGCATGGTACAGATTAGACAGAGATAAGTTTTATTATCCTCATTTCGCTGATGGAGAAATCAAGGCATGCAGATTAATGTGACTTGCTCAAGGCCACACAGGTAGCTACTGGCAGAGCCAAGATTAAATATCAGGGTTCCTGGCTCCCCGTGATGTATCCAGCCCAAGAGATGCTGCATCCCCAGTGTCCTCATACAGTCTCCAAATTCTACAGGGTTCATACAATCATCCAAACCATAGACCCCTTTGAGGTTCATCCATTTGATAGTATATGGGCATTTACTTTGCTGTCAGGATGTTTCCATTGACCCCAATGGGCGATGGATCAAGCCCTGAAACATAATCTGATCTTTTCTAGTCTAATTTCAGTCCTCACTTACCCCATCCAAACAGAACAAGCCACCAAAAATAGCGTCTTCCATGAGGAAAGGATGATAAGAGCAGACAGTTCAGGTAAAGCGCCTCTACCAGCAGCCACATGAAATTAGCCATCATAAAATAGTGACAGAAAGCCACTGATATCTTGCATTCAGTCTAAGGAGCAGGGAAGGCAAAATTTCATTATTGCGTGTTATACATATATTATGGGTATCACAATACCACATACAAGCACGAGCAGTGGCAAGATATTAACCAGTACATTAACAATATACAAAGATATCAAATGCCACCGTAATCTCCTTTTCAAATGCTTACTGTAGAAAAGCTGCAATGGTCAATATCTTCCTCCTGGAAGAGGACCGCATCCTTAATGAAAATGGCAATAGTTTTCAAGATGAAGGTGAGAAAGAGCTGGATGTGGATGTAATTTCTGGGACAGTGGAGTCTCCTGGAGGAAAAGAAGGAAGGCCAGCAAAATGAAGTGGTGGGAGATGGGTAACTCATCTTTCACGGGTCTGGGTTTCCTTAGGGCGGGGTTGTCAAAAGCCCTCTGCTGTGACCGAGCTCTGCTCACACTGAACTCAATGGCTGAATGGACTCTGCATTTGAGAAATAACCTTCCCTGATGTAACACTGATGGTGCTAACACAGCCCCCAAGAAATGGGGAGTGGTGCAGAGAGACCCGGGAGTATCTAGACAGCTTTCTTAGCAAATTGGGCAGTGATTAATTATCTAGAGGCTGATTGGCAGAGGTGATATGCAGCTGCAGCTCAGCATCTTCAGCAAGAGCTGGGGATGCTCAGCAACTGTGAAAATCAGGCTGCATCAAAGTCTAATCCGAATCAGGTCACTCATGCCTAATCATAAAGCTCATTTCGTTTCTAGTGTGATGAGTGTTGCAGTCGAACTGAAATGCAAAATGAGTTGTGAAACAGCAGCTATTTCTGCCAGTTATTAATCTGTAAATCTCACAGCCCAGAGCTTCCAGCATCTTGCATTAACTTGATTTCTGTTTACTTTCACGGGCCCAGGGTAAATGTTCATAAACATACCTGAATGCAATAAGAACAGTCACAGCCAGGGTGAGGGAGGAGATAGATATGCTGTACCCCACAGTGTAGATGATCTTTACAGTAGAAAAATAGGAGTGCTATAAAGGAGAGAATGAACAAGTCATATAGGTTTTAATGCAAATAGAAGGAAAAGAAGCGACACAGAATCTGGTGGGTTTGCTTTGTTGGGCACCAGAACCTTTTCTGTGGCCTCAGTTCACACCCCTGACCTTCACTTTTTGAGGGTTCATGTGATCTCAAAACAAAACTCAGCTGGAATCCTTTAACTGGGCTTCATATCTAAACCTTTTACAGGTTTCAGAGTAGCAGCCGTGTTAGTCTGTATCTGCAAAAAGAACAGGAGGACTTGTGGCACCTTAGAGACTAACCAATTTATTAGAGCATAAGCTTTCGTGGGCTACAGCCCACTTCATTGGATGGATAGAATGGAATATATAGTAAGAAGATATATATATATATATACATACAGATAAGTTGGAAGTTGCCATACAAACTGTAAGAAGATAATTAGTTAAGATGAGCTATTATCAGCAGGAGAAAAAAACTTTTGTAGTGATAATCAAGATCTAAACCTTGAAGAACAGTAAACTCTGCATGGTTTTGCTGGAAAACCACTAGAGGGCCTAGGATGGCTTGAAATTGGGTCCAAGTTAACTCAAAAGATTCTAGAAATTTTTCAAGGCTTTTCACAAAACTGTGCTGGCTTTCAGGCTTATAATGATCTCTGAAATCAGGCAAGTTTGGCCCAGTTTGGGTTTCTTGACAAAATTTCAACCTGACTCTCTTTGTGACTATATTGTTATACCACGACTGGTCTACATTAATCCTTCCTATAAGTCACCATTCACTCATTTACTAACCCAAAATATTCTTGCTTTGATAAAATGTTCAGATAATTACGGCAGAAGTTCAAGGTAAACAATGGTAGAAGGTCCAGGGAGATGGGTAACAAGGAGGGAAGGCTGAATCTCATGATGTGCAAGGTTTTGTGATCCTCTCAAACTATATTTTTAGGGGATTCCGAATGGCAGTAATTTGAGTTCACAAAGCTTTGTCTGCTACAGTTTAAAGCCACATTTGTTTTGTGAGAACAATTCAATTTTTAAAACCCCCTGGGTGACATCCTGACCCCACTGAAGTAATTGGAAGAAGTCCCATTCACTTCAAGGGGGTGTGGATTTAACATCAGATTTTCCTAAATTGCAGGCAGACTAGAGCCTTGTATTAGAGATAGAGGTAATTCCTCAAAAGCTTGGCTGGCACTAATGGCTGCCTTATGTATGATATACACCGCACAATGTATCACTTTGTCCTATGACTGGAGAGCTGTAAGTGGGCCAGTTCACCTGGACTGATCCCTTAGAATTTGTTAACTACTAAGGTGCCACAAGTACTCCCTTTCTTTTTACGGATACAGACTAACACGGCTGCTACTCTGAAACTTAACTACTTATGCTGTTCCACATTGTATTTAGCTGTGACACTCTGAGTACCTTTTCCACGCCTGAAGAAGAGCTCTGTGCAGCTCAAAAGCTTGTCTCTCTGACCAACAGAAGGTGGTCCAATACGAGACATCACCTCACCCACCTTGTCTCCCTAATATCCTGAGACTGACACAGCTAAAACAACACTGCAAACATTAATTTTTTCATCATTTTTTTCTCTCTCTCTCTCTTTACTTTTTTTCAACCTTGCCCTATCTGTATTTCACTGTTTGTGTTTTGTTCCTATTTCCACCCTATTTGTCTACTGGATATTTTCTCCCTATATCCCCAAACTCAACTTTTCCCATGTACAAGAACAACCTAATAGTGCTTGAATTAAAATCCAGCTTTTTTCAGGCATCGTGTTTGAGTGGGTAGGTAGCTGGCCAAACTAACTTCATCCCTCTCAAGAGGAAGAAGCAAATAAAAGTAGACGTGGACCCAAGATGCAGAGTTTGGATCCGAATCCAAACTTTCCCTAAGTCTGGAAGTATCTGTCTCTTAGGTCCCATTTTGATTTTATTGTATAGATATTGTCACCCTGGGCAGCCTTTGCAGGAGCACACCTCCATGTTGGAAAGGAAAGCTGGTTAGAATCTCTAGTGCTATCTCTCAATAAAATTTAAGCAATAATTATTGTCTGATTTTCAGAAGAGCTAAGCAGCACTGAAATAAGAGGGGGCAGCAGATCCTTTGCTCCTAATAGGGTTCATATTGTGTCTACCACTGAGTGGCGAAACACTAGATTGCATTTAGCCAGTTAGCAAAGCCCTGTGGAGCAGTTCTTACTCAGTGTGTGTGTTTATCCAGCTAAAACACAAACACGGGATCCTCAGCAGCAAATCCACCAGGTGAATCAATGAGGAACTATCTCATGAGCAAGTGTGTCAAAGCTGAGGTTAGATCATCCTAGCTGGCAGCCATTCCTTGCAAATCAGATAGGAAAGAAAGTCCATATAAAGCAATAATCCAATTCCCAAGTGGATAAACAAGCAGGCCAAAGAGTCAACCTAGGTGAAAGAACAGGGCACCTGCCAAAGAAAACAGCAGGCTCATGCTATGTTTGTTTTTGCACTAGAAGTGCAAGGAATAAATAAAAAGAAGGGAAAAGAACATTTCAAGAGTTGCATTTCTGCATGATAGATCAGCCAGCTGGAAAGCAAGGTCCAAGTTAAACAGCCTGCTGACAAACAGTGAAGAAATAAAGTGAAGATGACAACAAAAGTCCATCCAACCCATATGGAATGGATTATTCACTAAGCTCTTGCTGACAGGTGAAATTAACTTCAATAAGTAAAACAGAATCTTGCTTTCATTCGCTCAGTTAGCACCATTTGCTGGGCACAAACAGCAAGGGTCCGATTCCCTGCTGTTTTCTACCAGTTTTACCCTAATGGAAAGACTTCTGATTGACTTCAGTGGAGTTACTCCTGATTTACACCTGAATAAGTGAGAGAAGAATCAGCAACAAAGCCAGGTTGACACACAGGTTTTGAACGAGTTTTGTTCCTATTTCCACTTATATCAGGTAGGGTTCTGATTTTTTTACTGATACGGAGACACCAATACAACCCTAACGTATGTCTATTCCAGGAGAGCTTCACCAGTATGGGAAGGAAAGGCTATGGCTAGGCTATGTCAGCAAAGCACTCCTAGTGTGGATGCAGCTTATACCAGCAAAAATGTGGTTTGCGCTGGAGTTGAAAAACCACCTCCCCTGAGCGAAACAAGCTATACCAGTCAGAGTGCAGCTTTCCTGGTGTAACTATCTACACGAGGGGCCTTCTGCCAGACCTGGCCTAGGGTGGATGCAATGATACTGTTATTAAGGTGCCTTACACCAGTAGCACTTATTCCCCTTCCTGTGCAAAAATAGCTACACGAGCAGAAGCACATTTATAGGTAAGCACAAGGTGTAGTTAAAATGGGAAACATTTTCTGTGCACACAAGATTGAAGTGACAATGGTTTTGGGAATCAAACTGACAAAACGTGCCAAATACTAATCTAAATTACACAGGTGTAAATCCAGAGTAACTCTGTTGAAGTCAATGGATTTGCACTTATGTAATAGAGACCAGAATCTGAGCATGGTATTTTTCTTAAGCCCAGAATTCCTTTTGCTTTGTTATGGGTGCTTATTTTTTTCTTTACATGATTTGCTTTCTTCAAACTAGATGAGGAGCAGAAATGCAGCATCTTCTGGTTAACTGATTCAATTTGCCTTGAGTCTGAAATTCTGGTGAAAAAAGGGCATGTTTGCTACCAGCAGCAGGGCAGCAATGCTGCCGACAGCTCAGACTGATCATTGAATATAACTGAAGTATTAATCCCAGTTTTGCAAACATTTTGGACCAGATCTTCACCTGGTGTATGTCCGTGTCATTCAACGGAGTTACACGAATTTACCACACCAGAAGATCTGGCCCTATATTTTTTCGGACACAGCTCTCTAGATCTATTAGGTGTTTAAATGAGTGCTCTCTTCACCTGTATAATAAATGTCATTAATAATTTCACCGAGCAAGTGGGCAGAGTAAAAATACAATGGCATTTTATACTTAGTGAGAATGGTGCTGCTTCAACCAAGTTTTCATCCCCAACTTCTGAAATAGAAAGGTATATGACTAGCATCAGCACATTTCTGAATGGTATTGGTTCAGATAGACTTACTTCCTGAACTGGAATCTCATCGTTCACTGGGCAGGCAATGTGATAGGAGGGAAATGGATCAGACCAGCCATTCACTGTACAGTTTCTTCTTACCAAGCCTGCAAGAAATCCCACAGGGGCAGGGATTACCCTTTTGTTCTGTATTGTACAGCGCCGAGCGCAAAGGGGTCCTGGTCCATGACTAGGGCTCCTGGGCACTACAGTAATACAGGTAAATAATAATATTAATACATTCGTTCCATGGCAAAACAGAAAGGGTCAGTAGCAGGTAGTCTGCTAAATAAGGAGCTTCAGAATGGGCAGGGGCAACAATCCTCAGTGGGTAGGAAGGACTTACATTCCTGCTACAGAAAAACACATGGGAGCATTTCTAGGAAGAGGTACAGCTTGTGAGGTTCCCTGGACCTTCTTCCTAAAATATGTCCTGACCTGATTGCTCCAGAGAGAGGGACCCCGAAGACGCCACCACCTCCATCAGCTCAGGCTGAATCCCAAACAGCACCTGTGATGAGAGACTTCGTCTTTCTCCTCCCATCCCTCTCCCTCATGTATGTTTTTCCTTCCCCATCTCTCCTAACCCTCTCCATTTTCCTTCTGTCTAATCAGAGTCTGGCTTAACCGGCCAACTCAAGACTGTATCTTTTGCAACACCGCTGCAAGTCTGTGACCAGAAAGAGGTGAATAAAAGCAATGCCCTAACCAGTCCATGCTGGTACAATTTTGCCAGATCTTGGAGTGGCTGATCAGACCAGGTGCTCTGCCCATGTTTCTCCAACAGTGAGGTTGCAAGGGAAAAGCAAAGCCAGACACAGAAGCAGCATTTTCTATTTTGCTGTTCTTTCCTCTCCCCCTCTTATGTGTGTTTGTCTTGTTTTGTCTTCTAGAAAACGTGATCGGACTTTAACAACAACAGCAATGCCAGCTTCAGCCCATCTCAACGAGAGACGACCCACACCTGCCCATAGGGGAGGGGCAGAGTGAGGACAGCGGCTTCAGCAGATGTTACTAAGCATGCTTAGTCCATGGGAGCATGCTCAGTAGACGCCAAGCAGCAAATTGTGCCCCCCTCCCCCGCACACGTTGCCTCTGATCTCAACTAACTTTTTCTCTTTTCCCAAAAAATTACAGTTATTATCATCTTTAATGCCATGTAAAAGTCTGTCAGACAACGGCCTTTTCCTTCTAAAAGCTCTCTCCAGCTAAAGGGAAAGAGAACAGGGGATGTTGTTAAAATGAAAATATTATTCGCTATTTTATATTTCAAATGCTTTAACTGTTTCCCTTATTTTCTGTATCTTTAATACAAAGTGTTAAGGATTTTTAATGGTGTGTTTGCCATGGTACAAAGCATGCTGGGGCCTCTGTATACCAAACCCCAAATTTTGTTTAAAACTGTTTAATGTTGGACAGTGACAGGGTTATGTTAACACTGGATTCCATCTAAATTAATACAACACTACTTAATTTAACTCATTTTAGCATCAGTTTAGGGGATATCATTTCTAAAGTGTGAAGATTTGGAGGGGTAGGATAATATTCTCCTACTTTATAGAGGAGTTTTACAGTAAAGAAAAAAGTTTAAAAAGACAAGTTATAGCTTTGTAACTGTGTGAAAGAGAGAAATAAAGATTGTACCCTCTGTCACTGTTATGTGAAGAACCATGCCTCCATGCCCTCTCCTCCTTTTATTCTAAGACAGCCATCTTTTGCAGTATCTTCAGCGAAAGAATTTTTTAATTGTAGGATTAAAATTAAATCATATGACATTTGAAAAAAAGTGTTTTAAAGCAATATTATCCCAGCCTTTTAACAATAACGTAAGCATGTTTTTACATTGAATCTCTACATTACACTCTAGAGAGGCCAAGAATAGGAAATGGCTAAATTATTTCATTTCCATAATTAAATACCGATCATTCTGCAACCAAGAGTCAGGCCTTTGTTACATCTCAAGTCTGGCAAAGTTTTGCATCATTGAATTGTCCAGCCTGGAAAAACATCCCCAACCAAACAAAAATGTGTAAATACATTTCTCATGTTTATCATTTGAAAAGGGTGAACAAAGTTTTAGATTCCAGGGGACAGTATAAAATTTCCATCATTTACGGAGAGGCTTTACAATAAAAAATAAAATTTTAAAAGTATAGGCTTTCCTGATGAACATGAAAAATCTGAAACTAGGTCAGAAACTATACACAGACACTTGAATGTTAAAAGGCAATATCATAAAACCCCGGAGGCAAGGAGACAGAACTCCTAGGCTAAGAGGGACAAATTCCATCCTACATATACAAGATGTGAAAAAGTCATATCCTGAGAGATGATGTATGTGTAGCCAGAGGTGCACAGGTACTAAAGGCATTAAATATGGACATTTTGCAGCTGTTTGCTGAACCAAATCAGTCAGGGAGTTCACTCATATTACAGATAATCAAGAGCCATTGGTTCTGGAATCTATCACTTTTGATGACAAAACGCCTGCCTGGAGAATGAAATTGTATATCCATGGCAAGACTATTAGCTTTAAAATTGACTTAGGAGTTAGCATCACAGTTATCTCAGAAGGAACTTACAATCACCTTCAACATTGCCCAAAGCTGATGTCACCTGACAGAGCACCTGGAGGGATTTTGAACTGCATGAGCTAGTTCACCACAGAAACAATTTTCAACGACAAAAGCTATGCATGCAGAGTGTATGTGATCAAAGGACCACAGAACAAAAGCCTTCTCAGCTGCAGCATGGCAGCCATGATGGGCCTAGTGAGAAAGGTGGAAGAACTCAATGTAATATTTGTTGATACTGGACTTTTGAAAGGAGATCCAGTACAAATAACATTAACAGACAATGCTAAGCCATATAGTGTACATACACCTCCCAGGAACGTTAACCCATTATTTCATAAAGTGGAAACTGAGTTAAAGAGAATGGAATGTATTGGCATAATCAAGAAAATCTCTGAGCCAGCAGTATGGTGTGCCCAAATGGTACCATTTATAAAGAAAAATGTAAAAATACGAATCTGTGTGGATCTTAAAAGATTTAATGAAGCAGTTGTGAGAGAAAAATATATCCTTCCAACACTGGATGACTTTCTCCCCAAAGTGAAAGGATATACAGTATTCTCTAAGTCGGATGCCTCGAGTGGATTCTGCCAAATTCCTTTAGCCAAAGAAAGTGCTAAACTAACTACATTTATTACATCTTTTGGGAGATTTTGCTTATGAAGATCACCTTTTTGGATTAATAGTGCACCTGAAATTTTCCAAAGAAAGATGGCAGAACTGTGAACGAACACAAATGGAGCTGTAGTCTTCATGGCCAATATTCTGATAGATGGATCTTTGGTGGAAGAACAGTACAAAACCCTCAACAAAGTCCTAAGCTTAACCAGTCATTCTGAACCGCAACTAAACAAGGAAAAGTGCATTTTCTGTGTACCCCAAATCCAGTTTTGGGGATGGACAATAAACGAAGATGGAATCAGTCCTAGCCCTGAGAAAGTAAAAGCAATTCGAGAATGGCATGCACCAACAAATGTACAAGAACCGAGACGTATACTGGGAATGGTAAATTACCTTGGTCAATATCTACAAGACCTTTCAACAGCAACAAACCACTGTCTGAACTGTTAATGTCCAACACATCTTGCCTATGGGGGCCAAACCCAGAAATTGCCTTTGATAAGGTAAAAGAAATTATCTCAACGACTCCAGTTCTCAAGTACGAGCATGTGAACCAACCCACAATGGTCAGTGCAGATACAAGCAGCTATGGCCTAGGTGGTGCATTGTTGCTACAACCTGGCTGAGAGTGGAAGCCAGTTGCATTTTGTTCTCACATGCTTACAGAAGCAGAAAATCGATATGCACAGATTGAAAAGGAGTGCCTGACAAGCGTATGGGCATGTGAGAACTTTTACAGATATCTGTGTGGACTGGATTCGTTTACATGGATCCAGCCTTAAACTACTTATAACCCTGATCAACTGAAAAGTCCTGGATCAAGCACCACTGAAATGCCAACATCTATTGCTAAGGGTTATGTGATTTAACTCAATTGCTAGGTATGTTCCTGGGAAAATCTAGTAGTAGCAGGCACTCTGTCATAGAGCTCTGTCATAGAGCTCAGCATTGCACTCAGCTACCCGTGAGCTCAAGGATGATATAACAGCTGATGTGAATGCTGTGGACCAGTGTCATAAAAGAGGCTACTCCAGCTACAAAAAGCAACCTTGACAGACAAGCAACTTCAGGAAGGTCTAAGTTACATTGAGGCAGCTGGCCCAAGTATTTAAAGGACACTAAGGAGGTAACATGAGACAACTTTGTGGTGTGTTAAGCAAGTCAAATGGACTCGTGATTAAAGGCAATTACATCATAATTCCAGATTAAATGAGAGGAGAATTTCTAAACCTCATCCATGAAGGACATCAAGGATTAACTAAACTCTGTGAATGGACAACCAGTCAATGTGGTGGCAGGGCATCAGAAAGGACATAAACGATAAAGTTGCTGCATGTGAATGTTGCAGAACTAGCAGCCCAACACAACATAAAGAATCTTTAACAACATCTCCAACAGAGAGACTTGGGAAGAGACTAGCTGTAGATTTATGTACATTCAGAGGACAGCATTGCCTGGTCATTGTGAACTATTTTTCCAGTTATTAGAAATAATGTACTTGAAAGACATAACATGTTGCAATGTTATCAAGAAAAATTAAGTGCACTTTTGCTCACTTCAGTATTCCAGAACAACTAGGAACGGGCAATGGACCATAACTTGCAGCAGCAGAATTTAAGTCATTTTGAACTAAATACGATTTTAACCATATTAGTAGCAGCCCACATTACCCACAAATGAATGGAGAGGGTAAGAGAGCTGTACAGACAGCCAAGAAAATCCCAAAGCAGGAAGATCCATTCCTCACTCTTCTGAGTTACAGATCAACACCAGTAGCAGCAACTGGATATAGTCTAGCACAACACCTGATGGGACGACAACTCGGAACTACTATTCTAACTTGTGAGAGGAATCTGTCTCCAAAGTGGCCAGACATGAAGAGAGTAGCCAAATTGGATAAAAAGGTTAAAAAG